GGCAGTTTGAAGCCTTGCAGGGGTTGGTAAAAGGCGGTTCTGAGATCTCATATTCTACATTAAAACAAAGTCGTTCACGCAGATTAAAGAAAAAAAATCTGACTTTTTGCACTCGATCTCAGAGGAAATGTTCGACGTCACCCCCAGAAAAGAAAGTGCAAGAAAACAAAGAAAAAGAAAAAATAACGGTCTGACAACATTTCTTTCTTTCCACAAAACAAAACAGACTCAAAATGCAGGTGGAATTCCGGGATTATCCGCAGGCGGCCAAGGCTGTCTGGCGCCTCTGGGTTTGTTGGTTTTAATCTCACCTGGGGGCTTGGAGGGTGGGGAGCACGTTGCGACGAGCCACGCTGGACTTGGGGGCTCTTAGGAACGCTCCATTAGTTTCCTAGGCAGGGTCAGCCGCGTGGTCCCGCTGGAGAAGGCGCAGGCTCCCCGGACTCAACGCCCCGAGCTGTCCCTCTCAGCCGCGGCTTTTGTGCCCGCAGAACATTTTACAGAGGAGCGAATGGCTGCACAAAGGTAGGCCGTGCACAGCGAGATATGCAATTTGCCTCTTCAGAGACCCAACAGGGCTGGGGCGCTGAAAACACCGGCAGCTGCAGCAAATGGGAGTGACCCGCAGCAGCGTGCAGCCAACGGCGGGTTTAGTCGCTTGTTTGGGTGAGTCTTTTGCTGCGGGAGACCTGGGCTGTCTGCTGTTCAAAGCCACCCTGGAAACAAAAGACCATCATGTAGCTCTAATGACATAAAACAGGTTTAGAAAACTCACACTCCCCGAAGGCTTCCTACCATAATCCAGCGGTCCTCTAGATTCGTAGTCACATTGCTTAGAAATCTGCAGACTTAACTCAGGTCTTTTATAAGTGTTCAGTAACCGCTACAACCAAGTCCTCATAATGGTCCAGAGAATCCCCTAAAGCAGAGATTCTCAACACGTAGTTTGCGACCCCTTTGGGGGTTGAACGACCCTTTCATGGGGGTCGCATATTAGAGATCCTGCATATGAGCTATTTACATTATGATTCTTAACGGTAGCAAAATTACAGTTGTGGAGTAACAATGAAAACACGTTTATGGCTGGGGGTTACCTCAACATGAGGACTTGGGTCGCAGCGTTAGGAAGGCTGAAAACCACTGCCCTAGAAAAATCAAACACACACGTATAGCAAAACTTGCAGGAGTTACCCTTCCTCCCACTGCAGAAAGCAGGAAGACAGGGAAAAAAAGTAGACTGTGGATCCAACATGATGATACAGACCTGTAATCTCACCCGTGGGGAGGCAGAGGCAGGGGGATCACTGCAAGTATGAGCCCAGGTTTAGCTACACGGCAAGTTCCAGTACAGCCTGGGCTACTGGGCTGTATATAGTGAGCAGCTGTCTCAAAAAAACTAAAAATGTAAGTGGGGAGGGGGCGAGGGGGGAAGGAGGAAGAAGAGGAATTGGATTTGGAGGTGCTGAAGAAGGGGGCTAGAGCAATGGCTGGGGAGGGGCATTAAGAGCACTAGCTCCTCCGGGTTCAATTCCCAGCACCCACCTGACAGCTCCAGTCCCAAGGGAGCTGATGCCCCCTTCTGTCTTCCTGAGGGCATTGCAAGCAGGACACATGCAGGCAAACATTCATACACACAAAATAATAATAAAAAATTATTTAAAAGAAGTGGGAGTCAGAGGATTGAGAGTTCAAAGATAGGTTCTTCTACACAGAGAATTGGAGGCTAGTCTGGGCTATATAAGACCCTGGGGGTAATCTATATGGGAAGTAGAAAAAGACAAGATCGTCTGAGTAAATTGGGAGCATGGAAATCATGGGAGAGGATAGAAGAGGAGGGGGAGGAAGGGAGAGGAGTGGAGAAAAAAATATAGCTAAGTAAAAACAAAAATAAATAAATAAATAGGAAAAAAAGACCCTGGGGGAGGGAGCACATACACAATATATACATGAGAAAGAAGAGAAAGAATCAAGTTGCTTTGCTGTTGTGCCTGGTATTACTGTCAGGAGGCAGAAGCAGGTGGATCTCTGTGAGTTCAAAGCCAGCCAGGTCTACAGAGTGAGTTCCAGGCCAGCCAAGGCTACATGGTGAGACCCCATGTCAAAACAAAACAAAAATAAAAGAGTCAAGTAGTTTTTGGGGGGGGGGGACATTTTATTTCCTTTCAAATGCCTCAAGCAGTTTATCTGGACTCATCCTGATTATAGCAACACAGTACAAAGAAGACTGGTTCTGAGTTTTGAGACTAGATAAAAACGCTAAAGTTGCCGGGCGGTGGTGGCGCACGCCTTTAATCCCAGCACTCGGGAGGCAGAGGCAGGCGGATCTCTGTGAGTTCGAGGCCAGCCTGGTCTACAAGAGCTAGTTCCGGGATCGGCACCAAAGCTACAGAGAAACCCTGTCTCGAAAAACCAAAAAAAAAAAAAAAAAAAAAAAAACGCTAACGTTCTATAAACCTAACCCTGCCAACAAAATGGGGAGGACAACCATATTTATTTATTCATTATGAGACAAATTATGTCAGCCAGAGAAAGCACACCTAATAAGCTGCCTATTTTTAATGAATTCCAATAAAATGTTCAACATCTGGGATGAAAATATTCTCTGTGACTTTCTCCTGCAAACACCAGGACTCCCTTTCATCCTCTGTGTGTGCACAAGGAGTTGAGTAGTCTGAATTAGGGCAGGGTCAAAATGTCTGTCAGCTTTTCCTCAGCACTTCTCCAGGGTGACATCAGGACTCACGAGGACACTGTCCAAGGCAAACCCAAGTAAGTTTATTTCTTGGTGTATGAGTGTGTGTTTAGTAGGGGCTGGAGAGATGGCTCGGGGGCTGGAGAGATGGCTCAGTGGTTAAGAGCACTGGCTGCTCTTCCAGAGGACCTGGGTTCAATTCCCAGCACACACATGGCAGCTCACAACTGTCTGTAGCTCCAGTGCCAAGGCTCTGACACCTTCACACCAATGCATATAAAATAAATTTAAAACAAATTACTTTAAAGGAAGAGGGTCATAGATAAGATCACCTGGCAACATTGGGAACATAGGGGTAGGGTGAGTAGAGAGGGCAGAAGGGGAAGATGAGGAGAGAAGGGAAGGGTGAAGGAGAACTTGAGGGAATGGGATAGTCGAGATGGAGGAAGGACGGAGATGAGAGCAAGGAAAGAGATATTTTGAGTGTGTGTTTAGCAAACAGGGGGATAAGGAAGAGCATCCCTGGCCCCATATGGGACTTTGCAGGTCTGGGCTTTGCCTCCTAGAGGCTTTAGTAATTGTGGTGCTGCACAGATGATTGTTTCAGTGTGGCTGATGAAAAACTTTAAGCCACATTAATCATGACCAACCACAATCCAAATCCTCTGTAAGGAGGCATCCCCTTTCTGAGCTATGTGCCCAAACTATTGGAGCCCTAGAAACCCCTCTCTGTTTTCTGCAGACAAGTGGTAAAGATAATGTCTTTGAGAAATTTGTTTGGTGATGTCTGGAGAGATTGCTCAGAGGTTACAAACACTGGCTGGTCTCCTAGAGTCTCTGGTTTGGGCCAGTATGGTGGCTCACAACCATCTTAACTCCAGTTTCAGGAGATTTCCTGCTCTCTTCTGTCCTCTGAAGGCATTGCATGAACATGGTGCACAGACATACATGTAAGCAAAACACTCATACATGTGAAATAAAATAGAGAATTTCATACATGCTTCTAATGTGTTTGGGTCATATATATCCCCCATTTCCTCCCTTCCAATTCCTTCCATGACCCCTTACCACTTTCCCCTCCCAACTTTGTATCCTCTGTTTTTTTAAGCCATTGAGTCCATTTAGTGCTGCCTGTGTGCATGGGTAGAGAACCATCTACTGATGCATGGGAAGCCATTTAGGGGGCGCATCCCTGACAAAAACTCATTCTCTCTCCCTCGGCAGCCATCGGTTGGCTTTTAGACATAGTAGGACTTCATGAGCCTCTGATCTGTGTAAGCTGGGATTTGTCTGCAGGTCTCATACATGTGTGTGCAGGTCTCATACATGTGTGTGCAGGTCTCATGCATGTGTCTGCGGGTCTCATACATGTGTCTGCAGGCCTCATACATGTGTGTGCAGGTCTCATACATGTGTCTGCACATCTCATACATGTGTGTGCAAGTCTCATACATGTGTGTGCAGGTCTCAAACATGTGTCTGCACGTCTCATGCATGTGTCTGCAGGTCTCATGCATATGTGTGCAGGTCTCATACATGTGTCTGCACATCTCATGCATGTGTCTGCAGGTCTCATACATGTGTCTGCAGGTCTCATGCATGTGCCTGCAGGTCTCATGCATGTGTCTGCAGGTCTCATACATGTGTCTGCACATCTCATACATGTGTCTGCACATCTCATACATGTGTCTGCAGGTCTCATGCATGTGTCGGCAGGCCTCATACATGTGTGTGCAGGTCTCATACATGTGTCTGCACATCTCATACATGTGTCTGCAGGTCTCATGCATGTGTCTGCAGGTCTCATACATGTGTCTGCACGTCTCATACATGTGTCTGCAGGTCTCATGCATGTGTCGGCAGGCCTCATACATGTGTGTGCAGGTCTCATACATGTGTCTGCACATCTCATACATGTGTCTGCAGGTCTCATGCATATGTGTGCAGGTCTCATACATGTCTGTGCACCTCATACATGTGTGTGCAGGTCTCATGCATGTGTCTGCAGGTCTCATACATGTCTGTGCACCTCATGCATGTGTGTGCAGGTCTCATGCATGTGTCTGCAGGTCTCATACATGTGTCTGCACATCTCATGCATGTGTCTGCAGGTCTCATGCATATGTGTGCAGGTCTCATGCATGTGTCTGCACATCTCATGCATGAGTCTGCAGGTCTCATACATGTGTGTGCAGGTCTCATGCATGTGCCTGCAGGTCTCATGCATATGTGTGCAGGTCTCATACATGTGTCTGCACATCTCATACATGTGTCTGCAGGTCTCATACATGTGTCTTCAGGTCTCATACATGTGTCTGCAGGTCTCATACATGTGTCTGCAGGTCTCATACATGTGTCTGCAGGTCTCATACATGTGTCTGCAGGTCTCTTGCATGTGTCTGCAGGTCTCATGCATGTGTCTGCAGGTCTCATGCATGTGTCTGCAGGTCTCATGCATGTAGGCATGGCCTCTGTGAGCTCATGTGTGCAATGGCCTTGTCGTGTCTGTTTCACTGCAGATATCCATTCCCTCTGGCTCTTATAATCCTTCTGCCCCTCTTCTATGGTGCATTTTGACCCTCAAGGGGCTCGGAACTTATCCCATTAATGTCTAAGCACTCTGCAGTCTCTATGTTCTGCATGTTGACCATTTGTGGGCCTCTGCACCCAACACCAACCACTGCAAAAACAAGCTTCTCCGATGAAGGCTGAGAAATGTACTAACCTTCTGTCAGATGTATAATATTTTAAAGGAGGAAATGGGGAAAAAATGTGTCCTTTACCAAGATCTATTATGGATCAAATAATACTTTTTAATATGTCATGTCATCGGTTATCTGCCACCAAGTGCGATGGGAAGTCTAACTTGCCGTAGTAAGATATCAGGTGAAGACAGCAAAAGAAAACACACTGACCACGTTACAAGGAGGATAAGGAAAAAGAAATGGGAAACCCACCAAGACTGCTAAAACTGAGCACTTGCATTGCTTAAATAACAATTTATTGTTCGTAGCTCTAGAAGTTTGAAGTCTATGATCAAGGCCTGGCTAGTGGTTACAGAGAGCCCCTTCTCACTTGCACCCTCCCAGGGCAAAAACCCACAGGAAGGGAGAGAGCTTCCTGGCTTGCTTCTTACGAGGGCACTAGTACTATCCATAGGGCCACATCTCATGACGTAATTACCTCCCAAAGACTGTCCCTCTCAACACATTGAAAGTTAGCATTTTCATGAATTCGGCAAGTCATGAGACTTAGTCCAAAATAGCCCAATAGGTTAGAGCGAAGGACATGGCTGAGTACGACTTCAATCAGATGACCAGTTCTGAGGGAGAACTGTAGACATCGGGACTAGTGGTCCAGGGTATAAAAGACTCCCTGAGGCCTGAAGCTACATCTCCCACCTTTATGGCAGCATTTGGCCACAGTCTCACATGCCCGAGGCTCCCAGGAAAGGTGTACTGTTGGCTGAATGGAAACTCTGGAAGCTCCTCCAATGTCCACTATGAACCTTGGTCATCTTTGTTTTTTTTTTAATATTTATTTATTTATTATGTATACAATATTCTGTCTGTGTGTATGTCTGTAGGCCAGAAGAGGGCACCAGACCTCATTACAGATGGNTCTGTAGGCCAGAAGAGGGCACCAGACCTCATTACAGATGGTTGTGAGCCACCATGTGGTTGCTGGGAATTGAACTCAGAACCTTTGGAAGAGCAGGCAATGCTCTTAACCACTGAGCCATCTCTCCAGCCCCTTGGTCATCTTTGTAAGACTACTCCTACACCAGTGTTTACTCAGCATTTATTCCTACAATCCATCCAACAGATGAAGAGTCAAAGGGAACTTGCTAAGAATCCCCCTCACCTTGCTCTCAGGGGAAGCCCCTTCGGGGACAGTGTGGGTTCCAGGCCCCTTGTGGAGAAACATTCATTTGACTAGTGTGTGTGGTACAACCTAGTGTGTCAGAATTCTGTCTGCCAGCTGCCCTTTTCCAAAAGCAGCGATAACAAACGCTGCTGTGGGAATTACATTTTTCAGATGATTAGGTTATATAGCAGACTAATCGCTTTTGCTTTTATGAAGAGCGGAGTGCAGCACGCTGCTGGCATTGTCCTTAGAGACTGTCATCCAAATAATGTAAGCAGGGCTGTTTATGTAAGTCCCTAATTACTGACGAGGCTTGGACAGGGAGGAAGCATTAATGGTCTTTTCTGTCAGATCCATTTTGTAATGCGGCAACTTCTGCGGGCCTCTTCCTTCTAATGGCACAAAATAGCTAAAGTATTCTGTTAAGGAAAACATGGTAAGAAAATAATGAAGAGTCAAAACCCACCTAATTAAGACATGACTGCCAGAAATGAGGCCAGAGCTGCTGCGGGTACCATTATAATCATTACTGGATGTCTCCAAAGCACGCCGTCCACTAATGCACTGGGGGAAACAGCCAGTATTAGCCATGCGGGCATCTTCATCAGTACATTCTGGAGTCCCCTGTCTGTCAAAACTTCACATCTTTAGTGACAGAATGCTGGAATTGGATAATCTCATCCATTTGAAACCAGATCTTGTTATGTAGGTTCTTTTTCTACCTCTCAGCTCCCAAGCTCACCTCTAGTTCCACGAATACTGCTAAGTGGCTTTTTGTTTTATTTTGGTTTGATTTTGATTTTTTTTTTCGAGACAGGGTTTCTCTGTGGCTGGCCTCGAACAGATCTGCCTGTCTCTGCCTCCCAAGTGCAGGGATTAAAGGGGTGCGCCACCACCACCACCAGATAATGTTAAATTTTTAAGGGAAGTGGCCCTCTGAGCTAGACTGGAGCTCCATGGTAGAAAGTGACTATTATACCCAAAACCCTAAAAAATAAAATAGGAAACCTAAACCATTGCATTTTTTTTATTTTTGTTTTGTTTTTGTCTATGATTTCATAGACATCTTTGCTGTCTCTGATCTAAGGGAGTACGTGGAGTAAGAGGAATGGTGGCTTCAAAACACAAGAACCTAACAAAAGGCTCTAGATTTGTTTGCCCCGGAATGCATTAAGAGCAGAACCTAGAGGGCCTCATTACAGAGAGGAAAGGCAGAACCTGATACAGGGTCCAGGATGGGGGCCAGAGCAAATTAACTTCCTACCCACTGACAGACTTCCTGGGGCTCAGTTTGGCATGAGGATGAGACACAGTGGCCAAAAGGAGTGACCCCCTATGCTGTGCCTGCAAACTGAATGAATGGGAGAGACACAAAAGAATCTGGAGGTGCTGTTGACTTTGTTACATTTCTGCCTATGATTTCTTCTGTAGTGCATATTTTCACACCTAAAATCTGCCCTTAGCATGTTAAAGTTGGCGGAGACAAGCTTCCATAGACTGTTGATTGGTTAATACCCACATTGCCACCAGCTGTAATTCTTTGGATAGCTTTCATTCTCCTTTATTTCCCTCCCAAAACTGCTCAATATCTATCTTTTGCATCAATAAAACTTCTAGCCAGGCAGATAGCTCATGCAGGGAATCTTAGCACTTGGAAGGCAAAGGCAAGAGGGTTGCTTCAAGTTTGAGGTGTCAGTTTGGATGACAAAGTGAGACCTTGCCCTGTCACAAAAAAAAAAAGAAAGAAAGAAAGAAAGAAAGAAAGAAAGAAAGAAAGAAAGAAAGAAAGAAAGAAAGAAAGGAAAGCAAACGGTAGCAAAAAATTAAAAGATATGGGATACCGCCTCAAAAAATGGAGAAAAAGAACCCCTCTGCATGGCCTTTTCAGTTTGAAACGGGGATTCTGTGACTCCAGCCAGAGGAGATGATGAACGAGGAAAGGGATTAGAACAAATGGAGTCAGAAGTCACTGGCATCCCAGGCAGGAACTGCACTGAATGCAGGAAGCTGGAGCCTGGGGAAAACTACACGGAAACAGAAGTGGGAGGCGCACTGTAGGTGGCCGCTAAGGTTGAGGAAACCGGACAGTTAGCCAAGAGAGCTGTAGAGAGTAAAGAGAAGACCAAATACGGGACCTAAATAACCAGCAGGGTTTACTGAGGGGGCGGAAAAAGAGACACAAGTCATAAATATAAGAGAACAAATTCCAGCAGAAGAAAAGGATGTTGCTGTGTAGGAGGGAAGGTTCAGGAAGAATTAACAGAGTCCTAGACACAGTGGTCAAGGAAGCAGCAATTCTGAAAAGCGGGGTGCTTCCATCTGGAGGTGCAGAGTGGTAATCTGGAGAAGAAAAGGGAAGCACCAATCCTGGGGGTGTCTTTTAGGGGGGACTCTGTGCCCCTTCAGACATAGATTTCACAAAGAAATCCCCTCTGGAGGCACCCTCACTGTGGGAGTAAAAGGTGGCAGGACTTACCTATTGCCTAAACTTATTACTAATTAGTTTTTGACCGTGTCAAGGCCCACAAATGAAGCACCACCTTCCTGTCTGGCACACATGTAGGCAATGGGAATCCTGATGACCAAAACGTCCCCGTAAGGGCACAGTTAGCTGAGTACTTACCGCACACCCTCCCCTCCAGCATCTTCACCAAATGTATGCATTTTTCCATGGCTGCCATAATAAAGAACTACAAAACCATCTACCTGAAGCAGCAAAGACTTCGTCTCCCATAGTTCTAGAGGCCATAGGTGCAAAGTGAAGGGGTCAGTAGAGTCACACTGCACCTAAAGGCTCCAGAGAGGAATCCTCTGGCCTCTTCCTGGATCTAATGGCTCCTGCTGTCCTTTGACTTCTAAAGTCTTCTCAAACAAGTAAGTCAGACCTTAGGTTACAGGGAGATGCCTCTCCTGTGGTGATAACTCAAACGTAAGGGGTCTGAGCCCTGCTAGTTCTCCATATTAGAAAGTTAACCATTTTTAGCTTCATGATACCTAGGGTCAGCCTCAGATAGTCATCTGTTGACTGTTAGAGAAGGGGGAAGAAGAAAGATTTGGTATGTGGGGAAGAAAGTAAAGACCCCTGGAGAAAGAACCAAGTGGGGGGGGGGGGTCCTGAGCATGTGGGTGGGAGATGATCCTAAGCATGTGGGTTTGGGATGGTCCTGAGCATGTCATCTCTATGACACAGGACAATAACAGGATATCCCAGAGGAATCCCAGTGATGGCTCAGCGTTGATAATGTTGCAAGAGCCAGAGGCCTCGAACCAGACCAATGGCTCATTGCAACGAACACTTGCAAGTAAAGATGTATGAACTAAAAATAAATAAATTCTTTCTTTTATAAGTAGCTTTGAGGGGCTGGAGAGATGGCTCAGCGGTTAAGAGCATTGCCTGCTCTTCCAAAGGTCCTGAGTTCAATTCCCAGCAACCACAAGGTGGCTTACAACCATCTGTAATGAGGTCTAGTGCCCTCTTCTGGCCTGCAGGCATACACACAGACAGAACATTGTATACATAATAAATAAATAAATACTTTAAAAAAAATAAGTAGCTTTGGCCATGGTGTCTCCCCACAGCAACAG